ATGCACAGTCAAATACTTCCACGTGCCCAAGCATCAAAGAAAGCAAGCCACAAGGAGACAGCAAAGGCCAGAATTTGATGCCTTCCTGGGACCTTGTATCTTGTAATCTAAAACATTTGAGTCATAAAGATGAGCACACAACAAGGAACTATTTGAAATAATTACCTTTGAGAATTAAATAAAAGTAGAATTTCTAGTTATGTGAGATATAATCACTGAAACTTTCTAAACAAGTGCGGTTATATGGTTCAACAGCTGATCAGACATAGTGCAGAGACAATTGGTGATCTAGAAAATCTATCTAAAGAAAGTAACCAGAATTAAGTCGTGCGTGACATGCGCAGGGAACACGTGGAAGAAAAACAAAGACATTTGGAGGATGGAATGTGAAAGACCAGTCTTTACTGATAGAGCTATTGGAGTCCCTGGTAAGGAAAATGGAGAAGATACAACATTTCAAGAGATTGGCTACAAAATTTCCAAAACTAATAAATATAAATTCACAGATTCATTAGCACAGTATCTCCCAAAGAAGATAAAAAGAAATCCACACCTAGACATACCAAGCAGAAAGCTCTGAATACGCAAGGCCCTGGCCTTTAGTATTAGATTAACTCCGAAGTCTTTAGAGAATGAGGACAGCTGATTTTTGACTGCAGTAATGGAAGACAGAAAACAGTGCGGTGGTTTCAAGCTGTTGAGGGACACAGCTGTCAACCTAGGGTGTCTCCAGCACAACTATTTTTCAAGCATCAAGGTGAAGTAAGACATTTACAGATAAACCAAACATGGGAGTTTATCACCAAAAGATCTGCTCCAAAGGAACTTCAGTCATCGGGGTCGAAGCTTTTGGCATGATGGTCTAGTGAAGCCTGTGGACCCCTTCTCAGAATACGGTTTTTTTTAAAAGCTGGAAATAAGAATATTACAAAGGAAACCAATTATTTTGAAATTTTTAAAGTAAAAATATTTTTAAAATGTGTTATAATAATATATGTGCTACTTAATAACCCACTAAGTAACAAAATCCAGCAGCTACCCTAATGTCAGAGTAAATAGCCCTATGAGAAGGCAGCATCTTACAGGGCAGGCCCAAGACAAATGAGTTTGTTGCCAAGCACTTAAGAGAGAATGTGCATCAGAGAAGCATGTGTTACAACAGAACAGACAATGGTGTAATTCACCTTTCAGTTTCTTTTGACTCATGAGTTATTTAGAATATTTTTAAACACTTTCACACTAATAGAGGTTTTTTTTTTCTTTCATGAGGCGATCTTGTCATCCGTTTATAGTTCTGCTTCTGCTTGAGAAGATAACTGAACGCTGTAGAGTTCTTTTTCTATCATTAGGTTGAGAAGAAAGGTAATTTTTCTCCAGGACATTATGAGTGTGATGTGTTGGTGTAGCTCCCAAAAGGAAATGGTGTGGAGAAAGTTTGGACCACAGCCTGGGATGAAAGGCTGGGAATGGTGAGTTGGGAGTGGCTCCAAGAAGAGGGGGCAGAAAGCAGAAAGCATGGACCGGGTGGGGGTAGTATTGAGTGTGTCCCCACAGGTGGAGAGAGATGGCAGAGGCCTGTATGCCTCAGCCAGCCTTCTGTGGCCCCAGCAAGACTCAGAGAAAGGAAGCTACACCCAAAGCTAGGAGAATCCAGGGAGGGTGAAGTAGGAAGATCAGCTGCTCCAGGAGGCTGTGGGAATAATATTGCACAGCACAGAGCCGCACGGGGGGCTGTGGGAGTGATATTACATAGCACAGAGCCACACGGGGGGCCGTGGGAGCGAGATACTGCACAGCATGGAGCCGCAGGAGAGGCCGTGGGAGCGAGATACTGCACAGCGCAGAGCTGCACGGGAGGCCGTGGGAGCGAGATACTGCACAGCGCAGAGCTGCACGGGAGGCCGTGGGAGCGAGATACTGCACAGCGCAGAGCTGCACGGGAGGCCGTGGGAGCCACACTGCACAGCGCCGAGCCGCACGGGAGGCCGTGGGAGCGAGATACTGCACAGCACGGAGCCGCACGGGAGGCCGTGGGAGCGATACTGCACAGCACGGAGCCACGCGGGAGGCCGTGGGAGCGATACTGCACAGCACAGAGCCGCACGGGAGGCCGTGGGAGCGAGATACTGCACAGCACAGAGCCGCATGGGAGGCCGTGGGAGCGAGATACTGCACAGCACGGAGCCGCACGGGAGGCCGTGGGAGCGATACTGCACCGCACGGAGCCGCACAAGAGGCCGTGGGAGCGATACTGCACAGCACGGAGCCACGCAGGAGGCCGTGGGAGCCATACTGCACAGCACGGAGCCGCGCGGGAGGCCGTGGGAGCCATACTGCACAGCACGGAGCCACGCGGGAGGCCGTGGGAGCGATACTGCACAGCACGGAGCCACGCGGGAGGCCGTGGGAGCCATACTGCACAGCACGGAGCCACGCGGGAGGCCGTGGGAGCCACACTGCACAGCACCGAGCCGCACGGGAGGCCGTGGGAGCCACACTGCACAGCACCGAGCCGCACGGGAGGCCGTGGGAGCCACACTGCACAGCACCGAGCCGCACGGGAGGCCGTGGGAGCCACACTGCACAGCACCGAGCCGCAGCCCGGAAGGTTTGGAAGATGGGGGTTGCTGGACTCAGAATATTATTTCCTCTGTTTTTGCAACAAAGATCTTTTCTCCAGACACAGTGAATGCTGGCTTCTTAGTGGTAAATTGATTCCACTGTGGCTCTCGGGCACCCATCTGCCATATGCTCCACGAAAGTAATTTACTTGGCTTTCAAGACTGTTGTAGAAGGACTTCCTTCGCTATCATTTGCCTTTAGACCAGACTTGATGATCTGAAGGACATTCTCCATTTTAGGAAATGAAAGAATTTTTCATTATTAGAGGACAGGATTTAAAGAGCGAATTTATTTCAGGGCTCTGTGTCCAGGCAGGTACCAATCAAACGGGCAGGTCTTTGACTGTAAGGATGCCATTACTTCCCGGCAGCCAGTTATCCCGTGTCATCAGCCTCAACCGCAGGAAGTTCTGTGTCTGTTCCAATTTTATCTCTTACCTCTATTAGGCTGGGTGGGGAGGTAGAGAAAAGAGCAACTTGGTGTCCTTGTGACAATCATGGTGCTCAAGGCGCAGTCTCCTCTCCATGAGCGATATCCTGCCTTTTCTGATCTGTTTGGCTTTTCTCCCACAGCTATTTAATTCTGTTACTTTTCACCAACCCGCTTCAGTTTCTCTATATTCTTTGTGAACTGTTGGCTCAGTAATGATACCGAGAAATTAAATGGGATGAAGGTTTCGCGATGCGGTAATTTTGTGGCTAACTAGGTTCATGACCCTTTTTCTCATGGGAACGGTAGAAAATCAACCTACAGGATTACTGAGATGTCAGAACGTGCAACATAATCCTTGCTGGTAACTGGAACTGAGCAAAAACAGTTCAAGATTTGATGGTTCCAGAGCAGGGACTCTGAGCTTCTTTTACACCAACTGCCCTTGGTCTCCAGTGGGCCACAGCAGGCCTCTCCAGAGAGGAGGCATCCCAGCGACTGGGCTGTGCATAGCCTCTCTCAAGCCATTCTGCGGGCCCTTCCTCATTAGGGCTAAGCCTTTTCTCTGTTAGCAGTATCATGCCTTTCCCAATCTATCTGGCTTTTGTATTTGGAACTGTGTCGGTGTTTCCAGTATTGGGGAGGAGGAGGGGAAGGGATGCCTGCGCTGCCCCTCCTGGAGAGGTCTGGGGAGAAAGCAGATGTTTGGGAAAAATAATCTAGTGTCCCACTCCCAAACAAATAAATAATGAGCTGAGGCCAGAGTGACAGGTGTCTGGAGTCACAGTGACAGGGAATAGCATCAGGTGGCATGTGGCTGGAGGAGGGGCTTGGCCTGAGCCTGAGTGCCCACCGTAGCACTGTGGCTGAGCCCAGTGCCCACTGCAAGGTAGGGGATTGACCTGGAGAGGAGCGGGGCCACCAGGGCAGGTGCCTCAGATGCTAGAAAATCAGGAACCTAGCTTTGTGGGTTCTAGATTATTAGGCCAGGGAGATGTGGTTTATTGGGCAGAGGCCTCCAGGATGGCTTCAGTGGGGAGGGTGGAGGTGGAGATGAGAGGAAAGGGACAAGGCTGTGATCGGCAGGTGAAACAGGAGAGCACTGGCAGAGGGGAGAGAGATGAACTGGGAAATGGAGGGCGCTAAGCAGAAGAATGGATCACGCTTTGTGGCAGAGTGGCCCCTGAACTGTACCATGAGCTCAAAACATGATGGCATTATGGTCAGAAATGTGCAATTCGCCGAAAGAAGAAGGTGGGGATAGAAGCATGGAATGATGGCAAGAGCTCCAGGGGGAATGGTCGGATCCTTCCGAGAAAGGCCAGCGTCCTCTGGGTGTAAAGTGATCTGAGAACATGGCACGCCCACCGGGTTCAAGTGTTGGGTACAGAAGGCAAGAGAGAGGTTTCAGGGGCATTTGGAAGGAGAGTTAGTGAGATGCAGCCCCAGAAAGACATGGGAGACATTGGTCAAGGATTTCCCTAGGGCTGAAGCTGGACTTTACTTATTTATTTATTTATTTTGAGATGGAGTCTCGTTCTGTCTCCCATGCTAGAATGCAGTGGCATGATCTTGGCTCACTGTAACCTCCACTTTCTGGGTTCAAGTGATTCTCGTGCCTCAGCCTCCTGAGTAGCTGGGATTATAGGCGCGCAGCCTAGCACAGCCAAGTCACATCGAGGACCAGGGGTGGGTTGTTTCAGAAAGCCTGCCACTCTTGGGCCACCTAATGCAGTACACAAAGTGGTCCCCTCCTTCACAGTGCCCTGGTGTCCGGAGAGACCATTGTGCCTTTCAGAGTGGCTGCAGGCTGTGAAAATGCCACTCATGGTGGCCCCGCTCCTGTGTGTGTGTGCTGTCCCTCTCCAGGTTAGAATGGTTCACGGTGTTTTGATTGTCCATGAAAGGTTTCGGAAGTGTCTCACCTCCTGTACCTTTTGTCCTTCCAGGTGCTGCTGTCGGGACTCATAGGCGTTGTCTCCTGGAAGAGGCCTCTCTCCCTCGTGGTAAGTGGCACCTGGCCCTGGAGCAGGGTTCCACCTTCAGGGGTGTAAGCAGTTTAGAGGCAATGGCGAAGAGAATTCCAGCTTCTCTGCGGGCAGCGGGAGGCAGAGCTTGATAAAATCTCACCGCTGAAAGCTGACTGCTCTTGAGTGAGAAGCGCTGTGTTTCTTACGGGAGGTGCTTCTGAGCATGCTCCTCGGTGTCTTCCTGAGAGGCTCCGAGGCCATCCTCTTCGCGTTTGTTTGTTTCGGTGCCCTCCTGTAAGGACGGAATGTGACGCAAACAAGGGCATTTAAAAGTGTGGATGCGGCTGGGTGCAGTGGCTCAAGCTGTAATCCCAGGACTTTGGGAGGCCGAGGCGGGCAGATCATGAGGTCAGGAAATTGAGACCGGCCTGGCCAACATGGTGAAACCCCGTCCTAAAAATACAAAAATTAGCCAGGTGTGGTGGCGGGCACAAAGCACAGGTTGCAGTGAGCCATGATTGCACCACTGCACTGCATCCTGGTGACAGAGCGAGACTCCGTCTCAAAAAGGAAAAAACCCAAACATTTCTTGTAGACATTAAAGCCTGTTTGTGCACATAGGCATGCACACGTGTGATCACACAAACAGAATGTATTTTATCAGAGTTCAAGAAGTATTAGGTTTTTGTGTTTTTGAGGGATCCTAAAATTCTGTGACAATAAAATAAAGGGAGTTATTTGAATTGCCTTGGCATTGTGCCGAGGAGCAGGCCACGTGGGAGATGGAGAGAGAGGATGATAGTTTTTCCCTCGGAAAAATGCCCTGAACAGATTTGTGTCTATTGATTTGTATGCTTGTTCTTCTCAGCGTATCATTAATATATGTATGTGTCTGTGTCAGGGCTGGAGGGGGAGGTTTTCTGGGGTTTGATAGGTAATGAAAAAGACAGCGTAGTGTTTTTCTTCTTTTACATTAATCAATTATTTAAAATCTCTTCTTTAAGTGACTAGACTTGAAGTAATGACATCTGTGTATTAATGGGAATTAGAAAAAAAAGCAAATTTGTCTATTGAAAACACCTCTTCCTTCCTGAAGGTCACCGTGACCCCTGAAATGGTATCAGGGAAGACAGGAGTGGCCTTACGGTCCTCTGAGGCTCTTCTTCCGCTGTATCTTGGCCCATAGAAGACATTTCTTTTCAGAAAAATACTTTTAGTTTGAAACTTTCAAACATACATAAAAGTAAAGAGACTGCTCTAGTGAACCCCTGTGTACCCCTCGTCTGGCTTCAACAGATGTCAACATCTGGCCTCTTATTTTGTCAATATCTCCCCACCCCCCACCTCCACCCAGCCCCTTGCTGGATTATTCTGAAGCTGGCTCTTGGTGCAGAGGGGAAATGAGGTGAATAGGCTGACTGTAGGGTTGGCATCCGCGGGATGTGCAGTGTGGTGACCGCGCTGCCTTCAGTGACTCGGGGACAGCTGCCTCATCCCTCCACACCCACCTTCATGGTGCAGACAGATTAAGCTCTCCAAACAAAGGAAAAGCCGCCTTCTGCAGAGTGGGTGTGTGGACAAAAAGACAAGAGAGGAGTGACGTCCATCACCCAGTCACCCCCGCACGCCACCCCCAGCCCTGGCCCCAGCATGAGGAATCTCACGGGGCTGGGCGTTTTGCCACGAAGGATGCATGAGCTTAGGGCTGACGAGGAGTTATGGCTCCTTGTGGTGGTGGCTCAGAGGTGTCCCAGGGAAGCCAGGGAGCAGGCCAGGGTCTCAGGGCTCATCCTAGTAGGAGGACATAGCAGCAGGTGGACCTGTGGGAGCAGAGTGTGGGAGCGCTTGCTCCCCAGCCCTGCAGCAGTAGTTGGAGCAGGGTCAGCCTCCTCTCTCGGAGGGGGTCAGCGCCAACCTCCCATGGACTTAATTTCCTCCCAAGCCCCCAGAGAAGGGGTTCGTCGAGCTGGACTGACTTCCTTGCCTTATGTAGGGAGGTTAGGGCTTTATTAGGGTGACACTAACTGCTGCAGCAACCCCCTGACTTTCAGTGGCTCAGTTTAGGGCAAGGCTGCTCTGGCCCCTGTCCAGGGCGGGCTCAGCCAGTGATTTCGTCCTTCACGGAGGGAGTCAGGGACCTGGATCCTTTCACCTGAGGGCCCTAATGATTCCTAGGCCTGTGGGATCCACTACAAGTCAGTGGAAGGCAACAGAGAACAGAAGAGGAACCCTGGCAGCCTAATTTTCTTCCCCTGAAGGTGACATTCGTGGCTTGCTCTTCAAACCATTCGGGAGAGCTTGTCATGAGGCTCCGTCTAGTAGCCGTGGCAGGCGCTGGCTCTCTGGACAGGCGCTTCCTGGAGGTAGCTCCTCACTGCAGGTGGGAGTTTGCTGGGTGGCTTTTCATCTGTACCCTAAGAATGTTATTCCGTTGCATTGACCACAGCAGTGCAGTGTTTTGGTTCGTTAGCAAAACTCAGTCTCCGTATCGTGACCATTGAGATAGCCTTGGCTCTGGCTTTAGGAGGAGAAAAGGCATTCACAACAGATGGGAGGAAAATCCGTAAAGATCTATTAGGCTGTGCTAGAAAAACATGACCAGTAGGAGGTATGCAGATACAGAGACAGATGTAGGTAGATACGCACATGCAGACACAGGTATATATACATATCTGGATTATAACTTACATATATGTATGTATATGTACATAGATTTATTTATTTTAAAGAATTGGCTCACACCGCTGTGGGAATGGGCATTGGAAAGTCTGCAGTGCTGGCCCGCAGGCTGGGGATGGGGGTTGAGCTGAAACTGCAGCTTGAGCCTGATGGGAGGTGGCAGGCGGAACTCCTCCTTCCTGGAGGAGGTCAGTCCTTTTCTCTCACTTCTTTCCACTGACTGCATGCCCACCTACATTATGGAGGGTGATCTGCTTTGTTCAGAGTCTACTGGCTTAAAACTTAATCTCACCTACAAAAGTACCCTCACAGCGACATCCAAACTAGTGTGTGACCACACATCTGGGTACTGTGGCGTAGCCGACTTGACACACAGCAGGAATTGTCACCACAGAGTTTTGAAAACTTGCCAAAGATGTTCTCTCCAGAATCATACCAAAGATGCTATAAGCAATGGTGGTCACGGTTCCCTGGGTGGGACCTGTGCGTCCTCATCCTCACACCCGTGAGACGTCGGCCACCACCTGTGGAGGTCTGGCCTGCAGACCCTGACTCAGTGAGGGATGAATAATGCACTCTCACACCGCTACAGTGATTCAGGTGGGCCAGGGGTGGACGGCGGCTGCAGCCAATAGACCAAGATTCCCGGTGTTATCCACACATTGTCAGATTTTATAGCAGAGATTCTAAGTTAACGTGCTTGTGGATAATTAACATGGTTAAGAGAACGGTTTTACTAAAAGCGTTAGGTTCCAGGGCCAGAGTAAGCATTCCTAACCAGTAATTCCCCCTTGATCCTCCCAGAGAGGGCCCCCAGCACAAAATCTACAGGAGTAAACAGTGGAGGCAAAAGGGTGTGGGGAAAACACACTTAGCTGGGCAAGCCTGTGTCCCTCTCTCTTTCCTATGCTGATGTACACGAGGCACCTGCCTTCAGCTTGCCCCAATAAAACTTTTGGCCTTCCAAAAGGTTTGAGATTACAGTCTATAACTTTTCCTAATATTTGGTATTTTGCCAGCCATCCCAAGTGAGTATTAACACAGCAGTCCCGGCAAGAGTAGGTTTTCCTGTTTTTAAAGTGAGGCCAAGGCTTCCACACCTTAAGTAATGAACTAGGACTTGAACCCAAAGCTCTCTGGGTTCAAGTCCTCCTTTTTTTCAATTATCTTATTTATCACATGACTTACATTCCTTCAACCTCATCTTCTTGTCCCTTTGTATTTTCTGTCTCAGTTGGTGGCGCCACCGCCTATCCAGTCCAGAAACTGGGGAGTCACCCAGACGTCCTTCTCCTTCATCACCCTTCATACTCATTCACAGGCTCTCTCCGTGTGGCTCATTTTATCCGAATGCAGCTGCCCCTCTTCTGTCTTCCTTGAGCCACCATTCTAGGGCAGGTCCTTGTCTGGCATCTCATGTCTGGCATCTCTTGATGGATCTGTGAGCCAGAAACCTGGCTCTCCTCAAATCCATTCTCCACACACGCAGATGCCGAGGGTGGTGTGGAAAGTTTCAGCTGGACTGTGCTACTCCCTTTCTTTCCCTTTGTGGTTCCACAGGGTCCAGAAAATGGAACTGAGATTTTCAGATGACACAGGAGACCTTGTGCAAGGAAAGGAAGACTTAGAAAGCAAAGTACCCTCTCCTGGGCCTTAGCAGTAGAATGGCTGGAAGTCTTCATTTCAGTAATTTTTTTTTTTTTCTGAGATGTAGTCTCACTCTATTGCCCAGGTTAGAGTGCAGTGGCACAATCTCGGCTCATTGCAACCTTTGCCTCCCAGGTTTAAGCAGTTCTCCTGCCTCAGCCCCCTGAGTAGCTGGGACTACAGGCATGGGCAACCACGCCCAGCTAATTTTTTGTATTTTTAGTTAGAGATGGGGTTTCACCATGTTGGCCAGGATGGTCTCGATCTCCTGACCATGTGATCCACCTGCTTTGGCCTCCCAAAGTGCTAGGATTACAGATATGAGCCACCACACGGCGCGATTTCAATCCTTTTTAAAATAAAAGTTCCTGCTTGAATTGTCTGTGCTAATATATTTTCCTCTTTCTCGAGTTGTCAACTAAAGATGCAGCAGTAAGTTATCTAGTTCAATCCCAGGCCTTCTCTCCCCGAATTCCCTCCATAAAGACCACACAGTGAGTTGCCATCTCTGAAGGGAGAGTGTCCCTCACTCAGGGTTGCGAGAACGAGCAGTTTTGGGCCAGGGCTCCAGGTCTGTGCAGCTCCTCCAGACACCCGGCAGGCCTGGCTGGCTGAAGACAGGTGTGAGCCGCCCCTGCTGCTGGAGCGTTTGGTGCTGCCCTTGCTCTCCTGGCAGCAACTTGCCTCTGCAGGGCCCCCAAACACCAGGC